AAGCGTGAGGCAGAATTTCAGAAGATGCGCCGTGACCTCGAAGAGGCAACTCTGCAGCATGAAGCCACGGCTGCCACCCTGCGGAAGAAGCATGCGGACAGCACAGCTGAGCTTGGGGAGCAGATCGACAACCTGCAACGAGTGAAGCAGAAGCTGGAGAAGGAGAAGAGTGAGCTGAAGATGGAGATTGACGACTTGGCCAGTAACATGGAGTCTGTCTCCAAAGCCAAGGTACACAAATGCTTTTATTAGTAATTTGAAAACAATGCGTTATTTGTGTTTAATCTTATCTCATGTAACTATTATGAGGCTATAATATAACTGTTTTCTCCAAATCTAATGTATAGAACTGTTGGTGTATGCACATAGTCCCCAGATATGTAAAGTGCATCTTCTGGATGCCTTTTCCTGCTGTAACTAAGGCAGAATCGAGGTATTAACTCTGTTTTCTTATGTGTGATTGACACCTAGGCAAACCTGGAGAAGATGTGCCGCACTCTGGAAGACCAACTAAGTGAATTTAAAACAAAAGAGGAGCAGAATCAGCGCATGATCAGCGATCTCAGTGCTCAAAGAGCTCGTCTGCAGACAGAATCTGGTACTTCCATCTCTAGTTTGGAAATGGGAGAACCCCCTAAATGTGTCTCTTGACTGTTAAAATGTTTTCCTAATCACAAACTATTCCAGGTGAATATGCACGCCAGGTGGAGGAAAAAGATGCTTTAATTTCTCAGCTGTCTAGAGGGAAACAGGCTTTCACCCAGCAGATTGAGGAATTGAAACGGCAACTAGAGGAAGAGATAAAGGTGAAGATATTTCATGTTACATATGAAATAAATATTTTACATCATATTGTTTTTGGTGCAGTGTTCAAGAGTTCAAAAGGTGATCTAATTAAAAGTTCAAAACATCCCGTTAGGTCATGCAATCTAGGCCCTATCAGTGCAGGACTCCCAGCTTTTTGCGGTATATCAGACCTTGGCTTTTTTTCATGCAGTCAGTTATTCAGTATTTTTCTGGGATATATTCCAGTGTCTAAGTGCCAGTGAGAGAAAATTTCCCAGGATGCATCTACTCCTTATTGCAATCTTTTTACCACCAGGCCAAGAATGCCCTGGCCCATGGCTTGCAGTCAGCACGCCATGACTGTGACTTGCTCCGGGAACAATATGAGGAGGAGCAGGAAGCCAAGAGTGAGCTGCAGCGTGCCCTGTCCAAGGCCAACAGCGAAGTGGCCCAGTGGAGAACCAAATATGAGACGGATGCTATTCAGCGGACGGAGGAACTGGAGGAGGCCAAGTACGTGAGGAATGTGGGAAAGGTTGGCAGAAACCGATAATGGAAATTTGAAGAGACCACTGAGATACTGAAAGGCGAAAGCCCAATAGTAGGTTGGGAAACAGTTATATGAAACAGAAATACGTACTATAAAGGGTGTGGTTTTGAAAAACACAAGGAAAATAGGCCACGTGACAAAGAACGCAGGAGAAAGGCAATGTGTGCTGTGTGCAGAGGGTAGACAGATAGCTAGACCCTGCAGAAAGGAAAAGGGAAGAAAAATCACTGGCTGGGATAGGATCTGCACCATGTGCATGGGGACCAAATACTGCAAAGTGCCTCAGCACTGTGGTGAAAATGAAAAAATAATGTCCATTTTAGTCCCGAGTTACAAGCTGTGCTTACCACTTCCCAGGAAGAAG